GGCCCAAACCGGCGGATCTAGCGGATCCGGTGCCTCCATGGCCGGATCCGTCTCACGCCGCTACCCGCTGCCTTCTGCGCGTCTTGTCCCGCTGCTCCGCTTCCCTCCGCTCTGTTGTGGCGTTGCAGCCAGCGCCACCCGCCTACTGCCACCGGTCCGCGGTGGTGGCGCCCATCCTCCTCCTCCTCCTCCTCCTCTGCCCTCCCTCCCCTTACTCTCCCTCTCTCCCCTTCCCTCCCGAGGTGACGGTGAGCGCGAGGCCACGGCGCCCGTGGCCTGGTGGCCTCCTTCCTCTCCCCCATCCTCCGCACGGCCTCCTCAATGCCTCCTGTGAAATGCTAACTACATATTTTGCATTTCGATTCCCTCTATCCCTTTTACTCAGAACTTGACACTTATGCAAAGGGGAAATGCTTGAGGATGTGCCTCGTATATTTGAGGCTGTTTTCCAGTGCACTCTTGAGGTAGGAATACTATTACTAAGTTGCTTTTGTTACTGATTTTGTTTTCAAGTACATCTTTACGTACCGTTTTGTTGTTTATTCTCTCTCTTACTAGATGATTACTAAGAACTTCAAAGATTATCCTGAGCACCGCCTCAAATTTTGTTCTTTGCTTCGTGCAATTGGTAACGATTGCTTCCAAGCATTAATCCAGCTTTCAAGTCCGGTTAGTAGTAACCCCTTTTATTTTGAGGTCTTGATGTGAATTTATGATGTGAGATATTGTCAACTTCAACTCTTATGTTATTTATGGTTATCATTTGACTTCCTGTTTCAGCAATTGAAGCTTGTGATCGATTCGATTAATTGGGCATTCAGACATACAGAGAGAAATATTGCAGAGACTGGCCTTAGTCTATTGTTGGAAATTTTGAAAAAATATTCCATCCAATGCTGTCATCATATAGCTATATGGAAGCTAACTATCCCATGTGATCTGTTTGCAGGCTTCAGCATTCCAAAATCAATTCTACAAAACCTACTTTTTAACAATTGAGCAAGAGATTTTTGCAGTTCTCACAGACACATTCCACAAACCTGGTTTCAAGCTTCATGTGTTTGGTGCTACAACACTTATTTTGTGTGGTATGCTTATATTCATCCTCCCTGTAACCAATCATTTTATTTGTTCATCTAATTATTGGATTTGCTAATATGTAGGTTTATGGTCTAACGGAGCCTCTATGGGATGCTTCTTCAGTACCATATCAATATACAGATACTGCCATGTTTGTTCGAGATTACACCATAAAACTATTAGGAACATCATTCCCTAACATGACGGTAACCCAGGTACGATTGCAGCCACACTTCTTGGGTTGTGCCATGAGTCACCACAAACCTAACGAGATTCATTGGACAGGTGACCAAGTTTGTAGATGGCCTTCTTAGTTCAAAACATGATCTTCCAAGTTTCAAAAACCATGTTAGAGACTTCCTGGTGCAGTCGAAGGAGTTCTCAGCTCAGGTAACCTCCTCAGTTTCGCTTGCCATAACCTTTATCCTAATTATATGCATTTGACGCAAAACCAAAACAGATAAATAGGGATGTGACAGACTACCACAACTGGGCTCTAGGAATAAGGATGCATTTCTTGCTTACCATATACTTATTATTTTTATGTGCTTGTGGACCGGATAGGCCCTTAGTTCCACCAGCAGATTAGCGATGAATTTCGATCCTGCTCCCTTTTTGTTTACACAAGTGATTTTGTGCAAATTGTCTTGTGATTCACGTTTGCGGTTGCTTGTCTTGTGATTTCAGGATAACAAGGATCTATACGCGGAAGAGCCTGCCGCCCAAAGACAATGGGAGTGCCAACGGATGCTTGCCATTCCGGGCCTCATTGCCCCTAGCGAATTGCAAGACGAGATGGTAGATTCCTAGTGTTCCCTTGTTGATTCAGCTTTCTCTAATGTAGCTTCCTGTTTGTTGGTCCGGCCTCGGAATACCTCTGGAGCCCTCAACTTCTAAGTGCCCGAGTTTTCTTCCAGGGTGGTGAAAAAAGTTGCCTGCTGTAAATTTATTTTTGGTTACCTCCACATGACGCTGATTCCAAGATTTGTTAAACATATTTTCTACCCGCGCCTTAACCAAGTGACTGGCCGGCAGCGCGCGAGGGCGCGCGTCATGTATTAGTGACTCTTCATATGCTAAGCGTTGTTCACATTCTAGATGACTCTTCATACGCTAAGCTATTCATATTCTAATACTTGGAGACTTGGGATCATGAAAACTAAAATATTGAACAATGATATGCTCTTGAAGGACCTATTTAGTAGAGCTTCCTGAGCTGCTTTCAAGCTGAATCTAGAAAAAGCTCCGCCAAACAGTTTTTTACTGGATGAAAATTGATAGTACAGTGAATTGATGATTTTGTGAAAAGAACTAGGGGTGGGAACTAAAAAAGTAGCTTTAATACACACTATAATGAACGTTTCTAGGCACCGATCCTACATTTGCTCTATAGTATCCTTAGCCACGAATATGCTTTGCATCATGCTCCAAGTACCAAACCAAATCTTTTGGGGTCAAGACACTTGTGGCCAAACGAGTTGTGAGTAACTGAAATTGATACTATCGTAAAACATATGTCAGTCAAAACACTTACGTTTATCAATCACCAAAACTTTGAATCATCAAATTGGGGCCTAATGCGTTCAGCGGCCCTGCTTGTGTGGTAATGAAGCAGGTAAGGCTAGTCTTAATAGGCATTTTATAGAGGTTTCATACACGTTAAATAAGATGACATATCAATAAAAATAGAATCTTTGCACGTTCCGACGAGAAGAGAGAGGGGGGAGGGGAACGTTTCATCCCCCACGAAACGAGCCTGCACCGTTTCCGACTCTTTTGAAACCACATGAAACCAGCATAGACCCCGTTCGTGTGTCCTTAAACCCTTACTACGAAATGAGTCTGCACCGTTTCTGACTCTTTTAAAAACCGTATGAAACCAGCATAGGCCCTGTTCGAGCTTTAAATTCGGCTCGATCCGTTTTTTTTTTCCCGTCCGAAACAGTATTTTGCTGCTTCGTATTCATCCAGCTTCCAAATTCCAAGCTAACGGGGCTATTGAGGGGGGAAGTTTCATCGTCGTCGATCCCGTGCGCGCGCCTGTCCATCCTTCCCGCGCCCCGCCGCAATCCATCCCGCCCCCTTCGCCATCCCTCCCGCGCCGCGCCCCAATCCTCCCGCCATCCAGTGCGGTGCAGAGAGCCGCGCTGCTCCAGTAGAGGAGGAAAAGGACGCGGATCCAGGCCTGCGCCGTCGCCGCATCCAACTTCGTTGCCAGTGCCGGCACCGCCGACGATTTCCTCCCCAGCGCCGCGTCCAATTTCCTCACCTGCACCCGCTGACTTCGAGTATGCCGCCATGGCCACCGCAAGGAGCAGGATGGGAGCCCACCGGCGTCTTTCTCGTCTGTGCCGGCACCGCCGTTTTCCTCGTCTGCACCGTCGCCGGCGGCTTCGTTGCTTACTGCTCCGCCAGCAGCTTCGTTGCTTACTCCTCCGCCAGCAGCTTCCTCACCTCATGTGCTTCAACTGCAAGCTGTGCTGCTCCAGCCACCGCACCGCAACATGGAAACCACTCCCAAAATCATGGTAATTGTCCCTTGAATTTTTTTTGGAAGTTCATGTGCGATTCATTGTTTGCATAGATGTATATCGATTGCAAATGTAAATTTCTCGTATCAGTGTGCTTCAAACTTCTGAATGTGAGATAACGCTAGTTTACCTGCACGACCAAGCACTTCAGATATTTTAATAATCATCAGTTGTTATGATTTGATTTCTCTATGTAGCTAGGCTGATTTTTTTTTAATCATTAGCTAGGCTAAATTGTATCCTTGTTATTTGATTGTTTTCTCCTAATTTCAGGGGCTACCCACCAAGTGGTTTCTAAGTTTTTTTTTTCCAAAGTCGTTATGTGAATGCTATCTGAAGGCCATCACAATTTTGCCTGAATGCTAGATGTGAATGTTACCTTAGCCATCTCAGTTTGCCTCACTGAATGTAAACGCTGCCATTGGATAACAGCTATCTGAATGTGAATAATGCAGTGGTGCAAATAGCTCTGAAATGTGTTCACGTGTGAAAGCTGCTAGTTTGAGATACTCCATTTCATATCCTATGAATATTGAAGATAATTAAAATATTTTCTTTACAACGTTAATTTGCCATGTGACGGTTCTACTACAATAATATCAAATGGCTACATAGTTAACATGGCATGCTCGATTACAACAGAATGCAAGAATTCAATGCTGCAACTAGCCTATGAAACAGTGAAATGAAATTGTGCATTAAGAGGACTTGTTTGATACTCAGTTTCCAATAGTGTCACGTCTTGGAAACAGTGAGATGAAACCTACTAGCCTAAGGGAGACGGTGGCATCAGGAAACCTAAGGGAGACGGTGGCATCAAGAAGAAAACCTAAGGGAGACGGTGGCATCAAGAAGGAAAGCTGTCAAACAGTGGAGGAGGAGTCGCACGCCTACACAGAGGCAATGAGGAAGGAGGGTGCATGCCTGCATGGGCGTTGCTAGTGGTCTATTGAGAACTTGTGTCAATGGTTGTGGCGTATAGATAGGGGCAATGATACATCTTCTTTACAGGATAATTGATACATCTAGAATGTGAGCAACGCTTAGGTAGGGCCATTGAGTACTATTGTTAACCGAAAGACCTAAATATACATAAGCGTTGTTCAATGGCCATGAGTACTATTGTTCACATTGAGTACTATTGTTAACCGAAAGACCTAATATACCTAAGAGTCCGTTTGGATGTAGATATTGGGGGAGCTAGAATTGAATTGAGTTCAATACCAAAGTAGCCATGGTATTGAAATGGCCACAATTCGAATACTATTGTTTGGATGATCATTGAATTAGCTTTTGGAATCCTAGCAATAGCTCAAATCCCTTTTCTATTTGATTGCAAAAGCATGGAATTGAAATGTTGGTCCACGGCAGGGGAGCTCGTCTGTAGCCATGGGGGAGCTTGACCCCGGCCAACATGGCGGGTGGATCTCGGTAGCTGGGGAAGAGGAGCTCGCACCGCCCCATGGCAAAGAGGAAGAGGAGGTCACGCCGCCGGCCATGGGGAAGAGGAAGGGGAGGTGTGAGGCCGGCCATGGGGAAGAAAGATTCAAGAGCAAGGGCTCACGAGAAGCGGTGGTCAAGATCCAGGAATGCCGCAGTGGAGGCAGATCCGAGCCAAACCGGGGCGCAAGCCTGTCGCGGAGGCGAAGGACGACCGTGGGTGGGCACGCCCGTCCCATGTGGGCAGTGTCAGAGGGTGGAGCAAAGGCGGGAACCATGATGTCTGCTGCGACGGAAAGGAGATCGAGAGGGAGGGGAGGTGCGAGAGAAGCTGCGGGGGGCAGCGTGCGGATGCTCGCCGGTGAAGCTGCTGCCGAACCTTGCCGGGGAAGCTGCTGCTGGCCGGGGGAGGAGCGCAGCAGTGGGCCGGGGGAGGAGCACAGCAGCTGGCCGACCGAGTCGGAGGAGTCTCGAGGACGCGTTAATTCCAACCAATACAGAGGGGGAGAGTTTCGTATTGGAGATGAGGGAGCACAGGCTTGGTGAATATCGGTTGGCATTGAGGATGAATACCAATTCCCAATTCCAAACCATCCAATCAGCTGTATTCGGGGATAGCCAATGCCAATGCCAATGCCAATTCTGAGCCATGAATATCTACATCCAAACATGCTGTAAGTGTTGTTCAATGGCCCTACCTAAGCATTGTTCACATCTAGAATGTGAACAACGCTTAGGTTGGGTCTCATGGCCATGCACCCATGCAGCACAATGCAACATAGAGGTGAATACCTTAGGTAGTGTGGGCATAATTAATTGAAAACGAAAAACCAAACCAAATAAACCGAAATCGAAAAAAAGTAGAACAAATGTTTAGTTCCAGATATCAAGAATCAAAATAACCAAACTAAGTTCGCCTTCTACTCCCGGTTATCCAAATTAACCGAAAGACCTAAATATATGAATTGTACTTCATTTACATTTTGTAAGAGTATGTTTGGTTTATGTGTGATGTGTCATATTTAAACTGCTATCTACTCCCTCCGTTCCGAAATAAGTGTCACTATGGGATGCATGGTGGTTAAACTTTCTCAACTTTAACTAGTCTTATAGAAAATATTAGCAGCATTTATATCTACAAATAGGTTTATTATGAAAATATATTCAATGATTCATTTAATGATACTAATTATGCTCCATAACTATTAATATTTTCTTATATATTTGGTCAAAATTTAAAATATTTGATTTCTTGAAAAATGAGAATGACACTTGATATGGGACGGATGAAGTATTTGTGTTACTATATTGCTATTGTTCCATTATCAATTATTATTATCTAAATTATTATCAATTATTATTATCTAAATATAGGAAGTGTTGCCTAAATTGATTTATAAAATGCATATTTTTTGTTGTCTTAATCTCTGATAAAAAGGTTTGGTTAAAACTAAAACAGAACTAAATAACCGAAAATTGAAGTACTCAATTTCCCGTTCTTTAGAAACCAAATTTCTTCGAGAACCAAGGAACGAACCCAAAACCGAATATCCACCCCTAACCTTACAGAAAATCTGTATCTAACTCGAGCGTTTCTCGTTGATGTCTCACTCGATTTTTCCTGTTGTCGGATGCTGCCCTGGTTTGATCTGGCGTCAGTCTATTTTCTGCCTGTTTGGTTCGCTAGTTCCGTGGGCCCGCGTGTCAGCCTCTATTGTTTGCATTTTTGGGAATCGCGCCTGTATTGTCTCCGTTTCATTGGAATGGCCGCGTACGCCACTTCATTTCTGCGCGTTTCTCTTTCTCGTCTCAGTCTCTGGACGGCAGAGGCGATGCGAGGCGACCTCGCGGCGACGAGCTCGGGTTTGTCTTCTCTCCTTTGATTTCTCCCTTCTCTTTTGTAGATCTGTTCAAGTTAGTTGTAAGGTGATGTAATCTTACCGTGGTTTAGTTTTTTTCTTGTGATTTTGATATGGATTTTTGTTTCCCCTTGTGGTTGTGGATCTCTGATATGGTGGTGGTTGTTTCTCTGCAGGTTTGATGCGTTTGGTAAGTTGCTTTTGCTTGATTCTGTTGCTGGTCTCTGATGCGCTTCATTTCTGGTGTGTTTTGATTCATTTGTTATCTCGGTTTTGGGACTGCAGAGGCTACGGGAGGCGATTTCGGTGGCGACGAGTTAGGGTTCGTTTTTTCCTTTGATTTCTCCCTTTCCTTCTTGGTTGTGTTATTGTTAGTTGTATGGTGATGTAATCTGACTGTGGTTACTTTTTATTGTTTTGATTTTGTTATGTGTTTTTTGTGTCCCCTTTGGATGTGGAGTTCTTATTTGGTTGCTGTTCTATCTCTGGAGGTTTGATTGGCCTCTCGTGTAAGGTATGTAATTTTTCCTGATTATTTTTGTCATCCTTTTTTCGATGTTTGTTTCTGATTTTTTTCTTTGTGTTTTGTTTGGATGATGTGATTCCCCTTTTCCATGGCGAGCTGTGATTTTTGCTGTTGTTGTACGTGTGGCTGTTTGATCTGCCAATCTCCTAAGGTATGTGTATGTAGCTCTCTCTGTTTTTAGTTTGTGTGAGACATCATGGTTAAATTTGATTGAGTTGTTACTGTTGTTTGATAATTTCAATGTTTAGGCATCCTAACATTATTGAAGTTTTTATTTCTGTAGTTATAATGTTTTCTTTAGTATTAGGTTATTTAGATGTGATTGTAATTTATGTAGGTATCCTACATCATGGATGCCTGAGTGTTTATGTTATTTCTGCTCATGCTTCACTGTAAGGAATAGATGTGTTGGTCTGTAGCTGGAGCCAGCATTGAACATTTGTTCTACTAGCTGTAGTTTGACAGTTTTCAGGGCTGTGGTTAATGAAGTCAAAATTATTTTGTGTATATTTCGACCTCGTGCTGTTTATCTGTATGTCTATTTTTCATTGTCTTACTGCATATTGAAAACTATATATCACTGGAGAAGCGCTAATTTAGCCTGTTTTTCATGGAGTTTTTAGCATGCTCAAAGGCAGGGTGAGGCGTTGATTTAGTTTGTTTTCTGGCCTAATGGGTTCTGTATATTTTTGTTTTATGGTTCAGTTTAATGAATTAATTTTCTTTTTCTAAATTAGGCCCTGTTTGGTTATTTTTTATTGATAACCTGTGAAAAATACAGTTGGAACTGTTATCCTAATTTGTTTAAGTTGTTAATGGGGATTGATTCCTTTTTGTTATGTTTTTGTTGGTGTGTATTTTTACTCCATGTGATTTTCTCGTTTGTTGTTAATGATCAGTTTTGTATTGGAAATTAATACAGGAGTTTATGTCTTAGTGGCTTTTTGCTTAGTTCCTGTATTATGACATTTGTTTGTTATCAGTCATCTCATTAGTTCAGAATTAAGGTTGGATGTTATTGTAGTCAGTCTTCCCCATTTGTACGTAGTTTTGTTTTTTATTCTTTTTTTAATCTATAATTATATGCTTATTGCTTTTGTTTGTAGATGGAGACTAGAACCAGGAAAAGGCATCATGTTGTTGATTTTTCTTCAGAAGATGACTTTCTTGATCTAGATGATAATGATAGTGATGATGTGATGTGCTCTTTACCTGTTAATGAAGAAGTTCTAGGTGATAAATCAAGTTATGATGATGATATCTTATCTGAGGTTAGTTTTTTTCATGTTTTTTTAAAAAAAAAATATTTTTTATGTATTTTCTAATTTTTTTGCTTTTCCAAGGATTCTTCATCTGGTGGTTCTGGTTCTAGGAGTTTCAACAAAGTCTTGTATCAACGTTGTCTGAAGGATGTATGCATTTTTTTTCCTTTTTGTTTTTTTTAGGTTTCATTTGGTGTGTCTAACTTGTATATTTTATCATTATTTCAGTACCAGAGAATCAAGGAATTGAAGCGTAAAATGACATTGGCTTTGGAAGCTTAGGTATTTTTCCTTTTTGTCTTTGTTAGATCTTTTTTTTTTGTTTTTTAGCATTGTTTGATTTTAATTATAATTTTTTTGATAGTCTAAGAAAGAGAAATCTTCTTCCCGTTCGTCTGATGGATTCACTAGGCAGTCTGTCAGTAAGTTTGCTACTGTTATTGGTTCTATGTCTGAAGATAAGAAGGCTATTGTTAGTAGATATGGATTTGGATCGCTTCTGCTTTTCAACAAGTGTTTTGTTCCAAAGAAGTTCACCAAGTGGTTGGCCTCCCATGTTGAAGCTAAGTCTGGTGATCTTATTGTTAATGGGAAGGTTATATCATTGACTGCTGATTCAGTTAATCTTGTTCTTGGTATTCCTCTTGGTGGGACTCCTTTCGCTTCAAATTACTTGTCTGGAAAGCTACTGTTCTATCTAAGATTGACAAGACCTCTCTGCCTCAAATATCTTTCTTTGCTGATAAATTGAGAGGTGACAGTCTTAGTGATGAAGAAGTGGTGATTTGTTTCTTGGTTGTTGTTCTGCATTGTTTCCTCTGTCCCAACTCTAATCTGGTGTCTAGCCCTCGCTACCTTGGTGTATTTGAAGACATTGAGCATCTGAGTTCTTATGATTGGTCAGGGTTTGTGTTACAGTGTTTGCTTCACGGTGTTAAGAGTTTCAACAAAGGAAAGAAAGATGGTCAGAAAAGTTCTGGAACTCTTGGTGGCTGTATGTTCTATCTTGCTGTAAGTTTTTTCTACTTTATTTTGTTTGTCTTTTTTTGTTTTGATTTCTTCCCGTTTCATTAACTTTGCATTGTTAATTTCATTTTTATTTTCTACTTATTTATTTTTGTTTTGTTGCAAGGTTGTGTATTTGGATCATGTTGATTTCTCTCATCGTCGAGTGAGTGATTCCTTTCCTCGAATTGGAGTTTGGAAGCAGAACATGATCAGAGATTATTCTGATCTTGATCTAAAATCTCCTTCTCAATATGGAATGAGGCCTCTTCTTGATTTTGACAAGACATGCTATCAGAAGGTATTGTTTTTTTATTCTTGGTATTTCGTCCTATTTAATATGTTTTTTTAGCATTTCTTCTTTGTTTTATAGGCTTTCAGTCGTCACCTAGTATCAGGCGCTGATGATTCTGATGTTGCTGATTTCTTGTTTAAACTTGAACAAGCTTGTGGTTGTGATGTGCCTGATAGTTTGAAATCTAGTATTTTGAATGTGATTGAAGAGCATTGTAAGACTTGTGTTCCTCCTATTCCTATTGATCTGTTCTCTCTTGGTGGTCTTTCTGACGACTTGAAGAAGTTGTTTTCCAAATTGATGAATCATGTATATTCATTTAAAGAGAAGTCACGGGAATTAGTTGTTAAAGTTTTGAAGGAGTTTGCTGACTATGAAAGTTCTTCTGATCCTCATATTCCGTCTCCTGAGATGCCTAGTGCATCAGAGAATCTCTATATAGGAATCTGGCTTCCAAAAGATGGGCAGCCGATCGGGCCACGTCGCCCGACCACCCGTCAACCGTTCGATCGGGCGGGCTCGCCATGTGGACCGTCAGATTTTGGATCGGATTGGGTCTCCGCCTGTTCCATCGTGCTCCCGCATCGGGAATCTTCTCGGCGCGTCGGCCCGTAGGCTCCCGTGGCGTCGATGAGCAGAGCTGCAGCGCGGGCCAACGGCGCGGGCATGGTCCACCGGCGAGGCGGCCGAGCTCACCGGCGAGACGGCGCAGGCGAGCCGAACGCGACCTTGCCCGCCCGGCGCTCCCGTCCTCGCGCCGCCGCACTGGATGTAGGGCCACCACCCTCCTGCACCGCCGCCGGTACTTCCGTCCGCCTGCCTTACCCTCCTCTTCCCCTGCTATCCCCGTGCGGCAGCTCTTCCGTGCCCGTATTGTGGCATCCTGCGCCCGCCGCTCGTAGCCATCGAGTGGAGGTGGATCGGAGCCCGCCGCTCCGCTTCCTCGCAGCCGTGACCACGGAGACAGAGACGAGCTCAATGTTGAGCCCAAATGCCCAATAGCCATGGCGGAGTAGAGCAGGAGGCACGAGGCCAATAGCGCTCGCGCGTAGATACACAATAGCCGTCTTCTTTCCGATGGCATCGGCGAATGCGTCCGCATGATCCCCACCGAGACCATAGTATATTCGACCAGCGGCGCAGCAGGTGGCCGTGGCCTCGCAGGATTGGTGGCCGCCGAGCAATGCGACGTTCAGCAATGTTGCGCCGGTGCAAGGTGGAAGATGAGATGGAGCTGCTGGCGCTGGCTACGGTTCTCTGTTCTCTCACCAGGCAGGCCTAGGTCCACCTTTGATTCTGCCGCCCGACCAGGCATATTGATGTCCCCGTTGCATCTAATTAATTGTTGGCCTCAATCAAATTTGTTTCTGAATTCTGAAGAGAGAATCAAGCAAACAAGGAAATATGTTTATTGCGCTTATACCAGTATGAATTTCTCAGATTTTTCCTTTACATATCTGCCCATCTCTGTTTTCTCAGCAACTTGTTTGGTTCATCTGCAAAATCCGTTGCTGAAGGAGCTCTGAAATCGATAGTGCCACTGCCCCATCCCTGCTCAAGCTACACTTACAATACAATGTTGTGTGCTATTGTTTATACTTAAAATAATATCAATTATTTGCTCAGTTTCAATGACTGCCCCTAACATTGTTCTTATTTCTAATCATCTTACTACATGTTGTGTTGTGAGTAAATATTTCTCTCACACATAAACTGCTAAGTTAAACACACGGGCCTAGCAACTCTGACACAGTTATGGGTTGATGCATCATGCATGTACCTTCACTTGATAGCTCAAGAACTCGAGAAGAATCAGATGATATTTTTCATACTAATGACAGGCTCGCTATCTATACTAAAACCACCACAACAACTATATTCACAATGTTTGTAGCCCTATTGCTAGCCATGTTCACAACGTTTCTAGCTCAAAAAATCTATTCCCCTTCTGTTGCCTTGCCTGTATATACTGTAACCTACTACATTCACAATGTTCCAAGCCCTGTTGCTATATGAATGGGATTAAGATATAAGGCGAAATGCAAGGGAATGTATGAATTACATTGGCTTTGACTACTCCATGGATGTCTGTTGGCTGATTGGCCATGAAATGAATTACATGGATCTTTTTGTACAGTTAATTAACAAGTCATTAACATGGTTATTTTTCTTAAGAATGTTGCTAACATACAAAGGTAGCTATGCTGCAATTGACCTCCAAGTTTCTCTTTTTTTTATCTCTGGTTCTGTGATGATCTTCTATGTCAGATGTACTTCTGTAGTCATCTTTTAAATGCATTAGTCATTACGGAATATGTAAAACCCAGCCACTTTACAAATTTTCATGATATTGGTTTACAACATAGCACCCCGGCCCTCTTACAAAACAGTACTAATCTCTGTAAACTCAACCATCTAGCATATATATATGCAGTTCTTTACATGTGCACTAACTTACAAGCTGACATCAAAGTTGCTCTAGGACCTTTTAATACCAGGATGAAATAATTGGAGAAAGCAATCTAGGCAGCTAACCCTGTCCTCTATTCAAGCTTTAAGTACAATATAGTCTCACAATTGCGGAGCAAGAGATGAGAGTGCATATTTTGCTTCACAGTAAAAATTTCTTTTGGGCATTCTCGGTGATCCCTGGCTGGCCAGTGGAGCCGTGGACAGGCTCTTGGCGGGAGTCGTGCGCGCCCGTGGCCTTCAGCGCCAGCGCCCATGGGCCCAGGGCCCACGTCGCCGCCAGCTGGGGGCGTGTCCGGCCCGACATGGCCAGCACCTGGGCCATCGCACCACCCGGCAGGGTCAGGCCTTCCTCGGAGATGGAGAGCGCCATTAGGTCTGGGCCAATGCCACCAACCAGGAGGAGATCGACCACGCTCAGTAGGTGAAGCCCTGCCCTGGATCATTGTTTTCACCTTCATTCACACGCCCTGATGAGTCTTTTTGTGCACTAGGGCCTGGAGAAGTACGTCATGACCAAATTGTTCGACAGCATGTTTGGGACCTCCACTGAGGATGCCGTTACCGCCATGGAGATCTTGGAGAAGATTGTACTCTTGCAACAATTTGTTAAGCCCCATCACTTGGATATACCCAAGGTCCTGCAAAAGGAGGCATCATGGCTAGTAATTCATTCTGAGCTTCAAACATTTACAACCCAATTTCAGTTGTCATAAGTTGTAAGGATGGGAGTAATCAATGTATGCCACATCAATATATGTTTGATTGAAATGAAGCTCCATACTTTGATAAATTTGCTAGCTTCAATATTGAAAGAAAAGGTGTCAACTATCAAGTACTCAGCTCTATTTTTTCTGTTATTATCAATTATGTTGTCATTATACTGCATATCCAAGAGTTGCTGGTTTTAATCATGTAATATCCAATTTTTTAAATTATCCAAAATTCCCATAAAAGAAATCATTCCAGTGATACATCCAAAGCTCATTGTAACTATGACCATTATTTTTCTGCACATGACACTCTAGCTTGCAGTGAAAGAGTTGCAGACGATTAATACCTTCAAAGCACAACACGAGACGCTTCTATACATCATGAGCTGTTGTCAAGTAATCAATAACTTGCTTCTCAGCATATCAATGTCAAACGATCGAACATTATCTGGGGCTGTTAAATTCCTTCCTATTCTTATCTATATTACTATCAAGGCAAGGGCAATCCTCAGCTGCACTCAAATCTGAAGAATTATCTGACAAACCTCATTTCACCAAAGATGTTTATAATAGATGTCAACTCTCGCTCACTATCGATGGAGTAATCGAGTTTCAAAAACATATGAAATCGGCAAGACTAGCTACTCAAATATCTGTTGCTAGCCCAAGTACCTCACACCATCATATGCTTCTCAACTCCTACTTTTTGTGGAATTACATGTACTTTATTAATTTGCAGAGATGCTTTCCATCAGTCTTAAAAAGGTTATCATCATGTAAAGTACGTAACAGGCTAAGAGCCCAAGCAGTGAGTTCATGTCCATTCAAAACAAATCAAAACAGAGAAAAATGAGTCATATCATTGAAAAAAACGTGTTTTACTTGACCAATTTAAATGCAGTCATATTTGGCTTTGCTCAAAGCTTTGAATTTAAACTCAAACAGCATATAATATTTGCTTTATATACTATTTCAGACATTCTCTTCCATTGCAACATCTTTGACTTTGAACTATAAGGCAGTCAAAAAAAAAATGCAAATCTACTATACCTCCATCTTTGTTCTCCTATATTTTGTGCTGATTGCTAAAGCTCTCCACATAACTTTCTCAACTCATCGACTTCTCGTAATTTGGATTTTAGCTGTGCTACTATCTGTCTCCTTCTGTAAATGATTTGGCTAATCTGTGTAGTTAATTTTTTTACTTTGTTTTAAAAGCTTTAGATCTTAATACAGTGCTAGAGTGTGAATCTTAGACAACACTGCCACCGCTGTAGTTTTGATTGCGGTGAATGTGTGGATTGTCATCTCGAAAACAATCTCTATCTTCCTTTGAAATTATGACTCAAAGGTAATAATTCTACACCTTGTATTTTTATTTCAGATTTAAATAAATATCAACTTCAGACTCCAGAGAAAAAGGACTATGTGAAAGGTATACACTAAAACATTTGCTCACGCTTATATGCTCTTTGATATATGTGACTGATTATACCTAATACTAATCAATTCTTAATTTCACAATGATGGGTGTGTCGTGCATAGTTCTTAATTGAAAAAAAAGAGACTCCAGCTATTATCCTCTGCAATGGCAACGATCAACATCAGCTCCACTAATCTGTATAATTATATTATACTACTGCTATTTATTCTCAACAGAAGCTAAGTAATACTAATTGCAATATAATTATTAGCTTCATGATGCAAGCACCACATGGGACCGCGCGGCAAGGCCGCGCTGCTTTCTAGTGTTAATGGTATTCCTGGAACTCATGTATCTCAGGTATTAGTTGTTTTTTCTTTATAATGTATTTAGTTTCTACATTATTCCTTTTTTTAAGTGGTTTTTTTTGTGTGTTTGATTTTAACTGTAGGCTAATGTTGTGAAAGTTGATAGAGCTGCTTCTTTGTCAAAGGACCTCAGTGAGTTTTTCCTGTCTCCATCTTTTCCCCTTTTTTGTTTTTGTTTGTTTTGTTTCAATTCTTATTTTTATTTTCTTTTGTCTTTATTATTAGATGTTTCTCCAGTTGGAACTAAAGTTGGAACTGAGGCTGTTTCAAATATTCGTGGAACATCTTCCAAGCGTGAGTTTAGTATAATTTTGTTCACTGTATCTTTATTTGATTAGTAATATTATTTTTTGTAATTTATTTTCTTTATCTTTTATTGTTTCTTTGTCTGTTTTGAATCATGTTACATTTGTTTCAGGTGCTCCTCAAGAAGACATTTCTCAGCTTCATGACCGTTTTCCTAAAAGTGTTCGTCGAGGTCATCATTCTGTGATATCTTCTAAGAGTATTCCTGCACATGGTGTTGATGATGTAATCCCTATTGTGAAAGAACATGAAAATGATCCTGAAGCTGATCGATTTAATTCTCCAGATCAATCTATTGGAGTAAGTTTCTTTGTGGATTTGATTTGATTAGTTGTT